ACGTTAAATGCTAAATTGCTGGGGGTAGAAGGCCATTTAGATTACTAATCAAGAGGCTATAGTGGTTTGTGCTCATTTGTCTATTCCCTCTTACAGATTTAAAAAGAAAAAAAAAAGTAGTGTTTCATACATAGTAGTTAGTGTTCAGGAAATTATTGGTTGATTTCAAATGTCAAGGGTCAATTATAACTGAAGAGAGAGACTTACAGAATGACAATATCCTAGATTTATAGAAAGAGAATGTTGAAAGTGGGGCTTATTCCTTTTGGTCTAGGGCACAGAAGAGCTAGAGGAGAGACCAAGAGACTATATGGCTATATATAGGAGAAAATGTGCCAAATGAACTAACTGGCTTATTCCCAACAGTTCTTTATAGCCTACCTAATAAAAGCAGCTAGATTTTCTATCATAAAGTTTATGTACAAAAAATCTTTTTTGGAGAGGAGTTAATTTTAGGGTGGGAGTAGGAAAATAGACGCGAGAGCTGTTAGTAATCATTCCTCTTCTCTTTCCTAGTTCATTTTATCTATGGGCCATTGGATCCTGTTAATCCCTATCCAGAGTTTTTGGAGCTATACAGGTGAGTCTCCCTCAGAGGTCTTTGTTTTGTTAGTATCTCATCCTGACAGTGGTGAACAGAATTACCTGTGGAGGGCTGTTGCCTATAGCCACTGTCTCTGACCTCATGGGCTGTTGATCAGGAAACAGATCATAAAAAGATGAGTTGGGGAATCTTATTCTTACAATAAACTTAAACATCAAGACATTCAGTTATATATGCTCTTGATTTACACAGCCTGTTTTCACTGCATGGCTACTACATATTCCTAGTTGTACAGGTAAGAAAGCTATCATGTGAGTCAAAGAATGAAATTGGATATCTCTTAAGAAATGTTTGTTTTAGTTTGACTATAAAGCTAATTCATTGGCCAAAACTGAGCAGACTACAAAGAGAGATTGAGAAGAGTTCACTGTGGAAAAAGGACCTTTTCATAGGGTTGTTACTCTCTCTAGGTTTTTACTTGGAAGGTGCTGGAATGAGGAACTTTGAATATGTCACATAAGAACGTTCCATACCTTCCTATGGCCTAGTGGATACAACCCAGTAGTAAAAAGCTTGCATATAATTGTAAACAAAATACTTTCTCTTATTTCCCCCTGGGATTAAGGCAGATCCTTTGTTATCTTTGCTTGGGCAGTGAGTTGCTAAGTGATCCACTTGTTTAATGGTGCTTCTCTAAGAAGCTAAAAGTCATCCTGCTTTGACAGTTGTTGCAAAGTGTTATATTTTTGTCAGTTGGAAAACAAACATTTAAAAATTAGTCTGTCTGTATAAGTCACATTGGCCAGTTTATCTGCCTAAGATACAATTGCAGTGTAGAAGGTGAATAAGCTCTTTGTTGGTTCCTTCCAGTGTGGTATGTCTGCAGGGACATTTACTGGGGCTTCCTACTGGCTTACATCCCTCCCCTCCCTACAGCCTCAAGTTCACCTACATGCTGTTCTCTTCCACTAGGAAAACGCTGCCGCGGTCCACAGTGTCGATTCTGGATGACCACATTAGCCACTATCCACAGCTAGAGGATCCCATGGGCTTCTTGAATGCATATATGGGCTTCATCAACTCCTTCTGAGCTGGAAAGAGTAGCTTCCCTGTATTACCTCCCCTACTCCCTTATCTGTTGTATATTCCACTTAGAAAAAAATGCCCAAAAGAGGTCCTGGCCATCAAACACTATTCTCTCAAAGAAGTCCACGTTACTCACATTGGTGAACAGTATATAGGAAAAGGCCAGCAGGAGCTCCGACTAAGGGTTAACATAGTAGTTTGCCTCCCATTCCTTTGACATTCTGATCAAAAGTGGATGGATTTGACTTTGTCTTTGTGTTATTAGGAAATTCTGATGAGCACTACTCACTGATGCAGAAAGACAGTCGTTTGCATAAAAGACTTCTTAACACTTCTTTGGGCTTTTCTCAAACATTTAGAAGTGCTAATTTCTGGCCCAGCCCCACTGGAATCCTCAAGTAAAAAATAAGAGGACCTCCTTACTTCTCTCCTTGAATGGCTTTAAGGGCACAAACTTTTTCAAAGTTCTCTAAGCAACACAGCATCAAGTGAGAGTGAGTCTCCTTTATCATAACTGTGGATTTAGTTTCATCATCTGCTTCTAATCACAGATTTGTTAACATAGATATTGGTTTAAATAATGCAGTATTCTAAGTATACTTTAAGACTGTGATTTACCTATACATATATGTATTTTATAAGGATACTAAACCAGCAGACCCTTATTCTGCCAAAGTAGTGAACCTTATTAAACTTGTGTAATTTTTGAATTGAACTAAATCCAAACTATTTACAGAATTTCCTAAAATCACAGGACATTAAGGACCAATAGCATCTGTGCCAGAGATTGACTGTTCTCAGTTGGAAAGACCAAGTCATAAAAGCAAACATCATTCTGACTTCTCATACCTCGGTTATTAGAAGGATGTCTCTCCTGAGCTAAATTGAGGGGAAGGGATCATTGTGTAGTCTAAGTTACCATGCTGAAGGTACATGGATTCCTTTCATCATGATTGCTTAACTTCCCGTTGGCTGTCCCAGAGAGGCCTTCTCATGTAGCTCAGCAATTCCTGTACCTTATAGACAGGAAAGTTCTGGAAGCTTTAAGAACAAATTCTGAAAGACCTATGAACAGTGGTGCTGAATACTTTTTTTTAAGCCACATTTCATTGTCTTAGTTAAAGCAGGATTAAGTGATTATTTTAAATTCATTTTTTATTAGCATCTTCAAGCATAACAACTTTTAAACTGGAATAAGTGTTTATTTTCTATTAATAAAATGAATTGTGACAAAAGTGGACTCTGGCTTCCCCTCCCCCACATCCCCTCCAGGATAAAATTTTCCAACATTGCCAGGAGCTTTCAGACACACATTAAATTAAAGAAAAAAATATAATGAAGTTAAGCAGCTGGAGTATAGGATAATATTTGATTTTCAAGATTGCCCAAAGCTCACTATTATACCAAAGCTGACAAAGTAGAATAAAAAGAAAAAAAAACCCAACCCATGTGCAAGGACAGACATTTGCTTGATCTGCTGGCTGAGGGCCAAATGTTTCATATGCTTTTTCGAAGTCAAAGTGTGATTCTGGGAAATTCATGCCACTAACCTAAAAGTCCACTGACAGTGAAAGTGTACATCAACTTCATCTTGCCCAGTAAGAGCTTATCCAACAGAAGCCAAGATAACATCTACAGGTGTTCTTTCTTTGCTTCTGACGGTCACCTGCATGGTCACTCCATCTGCTAAGGCCAGCCTGGACCTCACCAATAAATCATAGCCACCTCGGTAAATACCTGAGAAAAAAGTGAGGAAAACCATATTAAGAACTCAAAATAAGCTCTGAATAATGAGATTTATCATGTTTTCCCTTCATCTCCTTTCTGTTTAGCTTTTCTAGAGATTTGTGAGAATTGAATCCTACAAATAAATTCTAGATTTTATGTTCCATGAGACCAGGTACATAGAAGTTATTCAAAAGTACTCAAGAGGGGAGGATGGTATCTGTGGGAGAGATTTTCAGTACATGTTTTAGGCCAAATATATATCTTAAAAGAATAACCTAAGAATAGCAAAATAAATAATTCATTTTAACTGGGCTTCAAATTGTTACTCATAATGGGGTGATAGGACAATAGCAAGCCATGAGATGCCCATCCACATCCCTTCATATTAAATTTTGCAACGAAATATAAGGTAAATCTAATGGAAGTTTCTTACCTGCTAGATAGAGGGAATGGGAATTCTTATTCTCGGGTACTTTATCGGACCTTTCACATGGCTGCATGCCGAGATATGCGATGATGTTGTTGACAGCTTCTGTGTTGAGAAGATTGATTCAACAGTAGTAGTAAAGTTAAGCAAAGGCATCTGCCTCTGCACCAGGATGTGCTGGTGGCTGGGGAGTAGAAGGGGTTGGTGGTGGTGCACAGAGGGAGGCTAGTGGACTTGAAAATGGCTGATTTAATTAGATGATGAAGACAGGGTTCTGGCCTTTTAAGTAACTGACTTATGAAGTATTTTTTTAAAAAGGGAGTTCAAATTATCAGGTTTAATAGTGCTATCAGGAAGTATGATGATAGCAAAACTGTTCTCACCTTCTAGGGTTTTGGTAGAACTGAGAGCAAAGGTCTCCTCTTTTTCAAATGTATCTCCCACCTCTTCCCAGGCAGCAGCAAAGTTAGGCTTCAGTACCTTCTGAATGTGGTCAGACACAGTCACTTCGAGATCTTCCAGCTAGTAGTAGGCAACAAACAGGGGTCAGAAAGAAAAGTCCTGTTATAGGACAAAGCTAAAGGGAAAGCTAAATAATGGTTTTATCATTCTGTGTTACATTCCTGCAGAAGCATAGGAAAAACTCTACCACCAAGATAGTTTAAGTTCTGTAGTGTAGATAAATCTAATGCTATAGGTCTTAGCAAAAGAAGAAAACAGGACATCTGGCAAGAGCCAAATTCAGATGAACATCTGTAGCCCTGAGGTACAAAGCAATCATGTTGTCATCACACCTAATCACTGTGTTCAGGATGTACAGTACCCTCTGAACTTCATGCACTGATTTTCCCTCCATTCTGTGAAGGCTCTTTAGTCTGTGATATGGCTTTATTAAAAACAAACTAAACTTTTTGCTGAAGAAAAAAAAACCCAACCCATGTGCAAGGACAGACATTTGCTTGATCTGCTGGCTGAGGGCCAAATGTTTCATATGCTTTTTCGAAGTCAAAGTGTGATTCTGGGAAATTCATGCCACTAACCTAAAAGTCCACTGACAGTGAAAGTGTACATCATTCATCTTGCCCAGTAAGAGCTTATCCAACAGAAGCCAAGATAACATCTACAGGTGTTCTTTCTTTGCTTCTGACGGTCACCTGCATGGTCACTCCATCTGCTAAGGCCAGCCTGGACCTCACCAATAAATCATAGCCACCTCGGTAAATACCTGAGAAAAAAGTGAGGAAAACCATATTAAGAACTCAAAATAAGCTCTGAATAATGAGATTTATCATGTTTTCCCTTCATCTCCTTTCTGTTTAGCTTTTCTAGAGATTTGTGAGAATTGAATCCTACAAATAAATTCTAGATTTAAAAAAAAAAAAAACAAATCTATAATCTAGTTCCCCCTTTTCATTCATTCACATTAATATAAACCTCCACTATTAATATAAGTATAATTTAAGTGGCTACATACTATTGTGACAAGTGACTATATCACATCACTTAAATACTTCTCTATTATTGGGCATTTAGGTTGTTTAAGTTTTATTACAGTATAAATAACGCTGCCATGAATATTTTCATGCATACGTTTTTCCTGCTTTATTTCTTTAAAGTCTCAGAAAAAGTTTAAGGTACTAAAAAATTTTAAGGTGGAAGAAAAACTCAAACTGAGAAAATTCAATACATTAGTTTAGGGTATGTTTCCTACAGATTGGGAATAAATTAGCTAGCAGCAAAACATCTGGATCTACTTTGAAGACCGCCAATGTTCCATAGGACATACTCAATTTAGAATTGGAATTTTTTAAGTTTGATTTCAAAAAAAAAAAGAAAGAAGGATAACATAGACTTGCCAGTTGAGGAAGATGGTTTAAGAGATGACAGAAGGAAAGCAATAATGTTCATTTCATGTCTTCTAACATTAAAAAGAATTAATAGAAGCAAAATATATTGAGTGCCTACTATTGAGTACCAGAAATCACTATAAGTGGTGATACACGTAAATGTATTACCTCACTTGATCTTCAAAAGAATTCTCTGAGCCAGGTACAATTATCATTCCCATTTTCCAGATGAATAAATAAAGTCACAAAGAGGTTGCTTAGCTTGCCAAACATCACACAGCTTATTGGCAGAACTAGACTTCAAACGAAGACCAGGAACCTGTGCTCTTAACCACTTCAATCTTCTGCCACCACAGAGCATAAAGCCTCAAATGAAGGAAGTCCAAAATAGATGATCAAAAAAGTCAATTTAAATAAATTCAAATCTGCAGGGTTTTCAACAATGTTGAAAAGTGATGTTGGTCAATAAATAGAAAATATGTGCATAAAGTTTGAAGATGACAACTTTGGAAAGAATGTGCCAGAATCAAAATTCAAATAAGTTTAAGGATGAATAGAAAGATTTGGTTAATTCCTGAATTTTTAGTTCAATGATCTATATTATGGAAACCAGTCATGTAAAAATTCTCCATGAAATTTCGTTGACCTTAAGTTCAATAAAGGGTCACATAAGTTCTAATAGTTATGATCATGGACTTTGTTCATCAGTTCAACACTGATAATTGACCAACGACTACATACCAGAGGATCGTGATCAGGGGAGGTAATAGTCCTGCAGTCTTTTAGCCAGATGACTTCTGGAATATTATACTTGGCTCTAAGTCTCATTTCCAAAGATGGGCATCCAAAAAGTGAGATTAGGATGATTAGGAACTAGAGATGAGAAGGCCAGAAAAGCTGTCCTCAGATATTTGAAGGGCAGTCAGGAAAAAGAGCAGAGGTCATATTACATCGTTTGAAGTACAAAACACATTCAAGAAACTAAAAATTGCAAAGCAAAAGACCTACCTCAGGAAATAAACAATCCTCATTAGTAGAAAAGTTGAAACAAAAAATTGAGGGTTGTCTATCAGAAGTAGTAAAAAGGTTTCCAATATTGGAGAGAAAATTAAAGTGCCTATACAGCTTCTTCCAACAATAATATTGTGATGCTCTTAGGATCTAAGAACCAAAAGGAAAAAGAAAAATCATAAACAGATCTCTGTAACTGTAATATTCAATTTCACTAAACTTCTATTGAAGTTAGTTATTTCCACTGAAGGGTATTTTATGACATTGCTCTTATGCAATTCTTCTTTAAATACATAATATGGCTTTTGGCTAGAGAAGAAAACAATATGTGTGGCTAAATTGTCCACTGATCCCACACTATTCAGAAATCCATTAAAGTAAATCTACCACATTGGGAATATTTTTAAAGTAGCACTTTGTAAAAATTGACCAAGAAAATGACAAAAATGTAAGAAAAATCCTGGGCTCTAATATGTTCATTTCTTCCTGAGGGGAAAAATGGAGATCAAATGAGTTTGTTGAAAACTTTATGATGCTTTAATGGAATTTTCATTGACATACTAATCAGTGATATATTAGAAAATGGCCATTAAGACCATATTATCTATGCTGTAGTTAATGGCTGAGATAACATTTCCATTGTGAAAGCCATTTTTAATTTAGCAACTTTATATCTTCTGAGATGATTACCCTTAATAAAAAATTTAAGTTTTCCTGTTTATCAGTGGAATTTTAATATGGAAATGGCTCTTTAAAGCAGCAAAAACTACTTTTATACAAGGTAAACAGTTTTGAAATTCAAAGACAATTCTACCTAGTGGGTTCTTCCTTGCTGAGGACAATACATTTAATTTTTATAAATCCTTACTAATCAATATTAAATAGTGACATTGGCAAACCAAATAGTACAAACCAATGCTTTCCTTTCTTTTTCTTTCTAGAGAGGTTGTTTTGTAAATATTTACAGCACACCACTGGTTCCATATTAAAAAGTGAGAGAGAGAGAGAGAGAGAGAATAAGAAGGAAGAAGAAGGAGGAGGAGAAAGAGGAGAGGAAGGGAAAGGGAGGGGCATGGGGGAGTAAGAAGGGGGAAAGGGAGAGAGACAGAAGCAGAGGGAAGAGAAGGACAGAAAGAGAAAAAGAGAGAGAGATGTCAATCAACAAAGTTCAGCTAATTGAAGAACAAATAAGATTGACATACTACATGAAAAAGGTTTAGTC